TTTGCATGAAGTGGTGCAACTTAGGGTCAACCGTGCGCGCCTGGTGGGTAAGCAATGCACTGCCAGCGAACCACCGCTTTGAGAAAAGTAATAATCGCATCACTTAACTATGCTTGTCCAGGTGTTCTGATGTAAAAATAAACTGCTCATTGCTTTCGGGCTTCGGCTTCGGCTGCAGGTCCCTTGTGTGATGGAGTGGATGTCCTTGTTGGCTTTTGCCGTCGGCTCTTCCGGGCCAGGGTTTGATTGGTTATGCATTCGCCCCTGAACAACGACGAAATGTATTCATAATGTATGGCACATAAGAGCAGTGCTCGCTTCAACATGTACAACGAAATAACAGCATCACCACAAACGTCACTATCTTGAAGAGCGGTCCTAGCCTCTATGGCAACCGTTTGCAGTGAAATGCTGCTGAGGTTTAGGGTTGCGGTTTATTAGGTGGTGCCCTCGACATCTTGGATGGTCAAATGCGATGGGTCAATTCTCCAACGCTGCTGCAACCCATAGCAGAAACCTGAGGCCATGCTTGCAGGATTAACTTTTTGCATTCCATTATGACAGCAACAAGCCACGGATCTCGTTCATCCTCAGGGCATTCAGCGGGAATGTGCATGGCTTGGGCAGCGGGGCATGAATGAGAAGATAGGGTCCGCAACATAAACATGTCCAGCCTGGCAAATGGGGTCCAAAGGGCCGGGAATCATGGAATTTGAATGAGCAAAGATTCATGGCATTGGGGTCACACAGGAAGGGTGCTTCCCTGTCCATCTGAGGGCCATGCATCAGGAGGGGAAAGGCTTTTGGGGTCAGGGCTTTAGGGTAGGTTATATATTTGGAAGGCGTTGCTTGCAGGATTTGGGGGAGTGAGAGTTGGGGAGTTTGGGATTGGGGGCAGAGGGGTAGAGAAGCTGCAGTGAAAAGGAGGCGTCGTACAGTTATAGGGGGGCCAGAGGGTTGTTGGGGGTAAGAGGGTTGGAGAGATTGGCAGGTAGGAAGGGTTGGGTTGTGGCATTGGGGTTGGGAGGGTTGGGAGGGTTGTGGCATTGGGGTTGGCAGGGTTCGGAGGGTTGTGGTTTGGGGTTTGGCGGGGTATGGCAGGGGTTGCAGGGCTGCAGGCTCGTGGGGTTTCAGGGTCGTGGGGTTGCAGGGTTGTGCAGGGTTGCAGGGCTGCAGGGCTGCAGGGTTGCAGGGTTGCAGGGTTGTGCAGGGTTTCAGGGTCGTGGGGTTTCAGGGTTGTGCAGGGTTGCAGGCTCGTGGGGTTTCAGGGTCGTGGGGTTTCAGGGTTGTGCAGGGTTGCAGGGTTGTGCAGGGTTTCAGGGTTGTGCAGGGTTGCAGGGTTGTGCAGGGTTGCAGGGTTGCAGGCTCGTGGGGTTTCAGGGTCGTGGGGTTGCAGGGTTGTGCAGGGTTGCAGGCTGTTTAACTTAGGGTTTTAGGGTTTTTAGGGTTTTAGGGTTTTAGGGTTTTAGGGTTTTAGGGTTTTAGGGTTTTAGGGTTTTAGGGTTTAGGGTTTTAGGGAGTACACACGGGGGGAAAGAATGGGCTATTGCAGCGAAGCAACGCCCCAGATGAGTGCTAAAAACAGTGCATTAGAACATGCATATTTGAAGCTTAGCCTAACGTTGTCCTTGGCCTCCGACTGCACCCACTACCCTCCAGAGCGTG